AACCGTTCCCTGCTGGGGCTGGGATTTGATAAGTGTCTGTTTCCAAGAAAGCAGGGTCACAGGTTAAAATGGTTGTTATTGTCTTTTTCTTCTCTTTGTGGTGCCAGACAATTCTGATTTCCTGCACCTCTGCATTTCCTCTCACTTGTTTGAATTCTCAGGTTGTCTTCCAGGGATTCTTCCAACCTGAGCTTGACGCTCCCACACAGACTTCTCTTCCTACCTTCTTGATTGCACATAGATGTTCTTTTAATTGCAGAGACCTTGTAAGGGGAAGATGACAGCTCCACTGTAATACAGTGAGGTGGGACGTACACACAGAAACCTGGTTTTTCTTAAGTTGAAGCAATTAAACAGACAAACTCAGTGTAGTTCCAAGTAGACCGGTTTCCAGAGGAACTAAATGTGTACCTGATGAACCTATGCAGTGTATTACACAACTCTCCAGTGTTTGAGCTTGTGCCTGAAGAGAGTTAAAGCAAGCAAGCTGTGCTCATAGACAACTGGCCTCAAACACTTTTCCATATTGACACAAATGTCTTCTCCATTCTCTTTCAAGAAAAAACAGGTATAAGGAGACTAGGATATTATCTGCTTAATGCATGAGTTATAAAGTTAAATAACACCATGCAGTGATGAGTAACAGCATCTGTGATCTCTGTATCTTGTTGTTACAGAAGAAATTGTCTCATTTCAATCCCTTTCAAGTAGCAAGTCCCTATATCCAAGGACAAAAAAGGGCCATCGGAAATACTCTGTCAGTAAGGCAGAGTTCTCAAAAGGCTTCCTCTCTCAAGGAAAACCTAATTCAAGCTTTGTTCAAGTGGCCTTTCCACTGCAGTACATTAATTCAGACAAGTTCATCTGAGTGTCACTCAGTGTCCAAAAGCAGAGAAGGAAGCAGTGGTAGTAGAAACAATGGGCTTTATCTGAATGTATTTTTAGGGTCTAACAAACACGCAAGACATCTTGGAAGTATTTCCTGTTTACAGAGAGCTGCATTATCTATGTGCAATGATACCCTGCACATCCTGAGCTAGCCAGGAATCAGAAATATATGGAAGTCAAATGAGGCTATATTGGACAACATTCCTTGGTAGGCATATTTAGAACCATAGAATGGTTTGGGTTGCAAGGGACTTTCATAGCTCATCTAGTCCAATCTCCCTGCAATGAGCAGGGACAGCTTGAACTAGATCAGATTGCCCAGAACCACAAGTTACCCTTAGATGGAAATGATTTGATAGCAAATGTCTATTAAAACATATCAAATTTAAAATATGAAGTAGGATGTGGCAGATCTTTCACAGATACAAGAATAAAAAGACATCTCAAATCAGGCTGTGAAAGATTCACTGTGAAAAAGTGAAATTAGAAGAACCTGTTCTTAAGAAAGCAATTGAAGCAGCTTGAGCATTTTTGCAAGGAAAATATCAACCCCCCTTGATCCAAAGCAGGATTCCATTCTAAACCACTGAAATACTGTTGTATCTGTGCATTAAAGATGACCAAAGTTCCATGGAGAAAGGCTGTCATGTGCTAACTCATGCTCCCCACTCAAACCAACGTGTTTGTTCTCAAATCAATTGAGGCCACGTAGAACACTTCACTGCCAGGATTTATTTTAGTGGTACATGAAAAGAAACCTTGTGAGTATAAAAACATTTCCAGTGGTTATAACATCCAATGAAAGGTGTTTTAAGAAAATTTCATCAGAAATTGCATCATTACAGGTGATGGAACAGTTTGAAAAGCTACCATAGGTAACAGTCGTAACAGAAGTGCCCTTGTGTGCATAACACTGAAGAAAGAAGCACCCAGTTGTGTGCAGTGTCCTACTACCACTGAAGCAGATTCAATCTCAGCTGCTGTGGGCATTCTCAGTGAAGTCCTGTGGGTCAGAGGATTAGTTTACAAAATGCAGCTTGTGTGTCCAGTGATTGAGAGAGGGTTATCAGCTCCCACGTGACATTAAGGATCTTGAGTTCCTTGCCCATGTAAAGCGGCTGTATGGCTCCCCCTCTGAGCTGCTCACGAACAGCAGATGCACCCTGATTAGAAGAAACTGGATCTTGGTCCACAATAAATTGCCAGCTGTGGTCTGGAATTCAAAGACCACTTTTCACTGAGCTCTCCACACCATCTCCTTGCATGGAATATGGTAACAGAGTTCCACAAGTGAAATCAGAGAGAGAGTACAACTTCAGAACTGCAAAAGTTCTTTGCAATCCAGCAGGGATTTGTCTGATGCCTTAAATTGCCATAAAGCCACATATCTGACAGATTTAGTGCAAAACTAGTTCTTGAAAGACCAGGGCAGATGTGAAAACTGTTTCTCCTATTATTCCAAAGTGTAAGAGGAATGTATAGAGTGTAAACCCCAAGTTTACACAGTTTTAATCCATGCAATGAACACGGTGTCCCCTGAACCTGCCCTCACTACTTACAACTGGAAACAATTCCCAACACCAAGCATTAAGGCTGAGATACCACTAACTAAAATGTGAAGGGTCAAGTGTCCTTAAACCCTACACTGCAACTACCTACCCAGTTAGCCTATGTAACAGTTTCCACAGCATACAAAGACATCCAGACCCCAGAAGACTTTATACAGTGAATGATGTAAGCAAGTAACTGCAAACCAAATGTCACATCAAGGTGCTAACTCCCAAAAGAATCCTGTAACAACTAAGGCTTTGAGGACAAAGGAATCCATTGGGTTGTGAAGCAATATTCCAGCATAAACACACCAACATCCTTTGCTTTGCTCTTCCACTTGAACTAAATTTTCTCTCTTCCATCCATAAGCAACAGAAGAGTGATTAGTAACTAACGCTACTTACCACACATGGTAGGTAGCTTGAGGCTGCGTATCTCCAACATGGGAGACTCACAAGTGCTCTTTTCCAGCACTAGTCTCAAATTCTATGGAATGTTGTGTCTCTCCTAATCTTTTCCAAAGACCACCATTTCCTCATCAAGAAACAAAACTATTTCTGAAGCTAACTACCTACCTTTCAGGGTTTTAAAGGTACATAATGTTTCTTAGTCCATCTTCACCCTCCAGTGGGAGGATCCATTAAGGTCTAAGCACCTCTAGAAAAACAGGAATATTGCAGACCCTGTAGTGCTATAAATTGTAGGGATTTACAATTTTCGTAGCAGAGATGATGCCACAAGAAAGAATCTGTTCCACTGAAATTCCCCATTTACAATCCACATCATCTCTGTAGCAAGTGTAGCAATGATGTGGCAGGATGGTACCAAGGAAGCACTTAAATTTGGCTTTACATTTCCAAACTCAGTTTGACAACAGAAACCAGTTGGGGTTAGTACCATGAGCTCTGCCAACCAGTGCTTCAGGAACTCTGCTCACCTGCAGTTCCTGTCAGAAACTGTGGGATCCTGGTTAACTCTGAGCCCAGGACTAGTATAAAAGTGGGGTTATTTTACTTCTCTTACATCAGAGGGAGAAATGCAATAGGCAAATTGCTAATGTGCTTTATAAAAGAACTTAAAAAAGCAGGAAAAGTGCATTTTGACAAATGCATCTCCATTTGGAAAAATGAGAAATGGGAAATCCTACAAACAGCTATCAGTAAGGCCTGGAGAAAAGGGATCTACCACCAAAAGACACTTCACACACTCCAGTGATGATGGTTTCATGGGACCTGTTGCCACATGGGTTTCCCCAAAGGTTCCTTCAAAGCTAACGTTTGAAAGGCAAATAAAACTCTAAAACCAGGTGAGCTGCTCTACCTAATAAATAACTTCTTAAATAACTTCATTTCAACTCAAAAATCTGGAAATCAGTGATTGAGGGGTTACAGTATAGTAACTACTGTGTCATAAATAAAAGATCCTCTACAAAAAAGAAGCAAGCCCAAAAATCTAATACAGATCACATCTTCCTTAGGTTAAATCCTTGTATTAGAAATGTCTATCACCTTAAAACATACAGCATTCAGCAGGTGCTACTTGTATGGTTCTTATCCAGTGCAAGAGAATTACTCTTCCCATAACAATAAAAATACCTGTTTCTGCAATAAATTATCTCCTATGAGCTTACGAAGTTTCTCCTATGAGCTTACGAAGCTCCTATGAGCTTACAAAGAACAATCCTACCTGTCTTACTTGCACTGTCTTACTCCATCTTCTGATTACAAGCTTTTACTCTCACTAAGACACAAAGAATCATCTGACTCCTGAATCGGGACCACTAAATGCCCTTTCTGCCTTCAGAACTCGTCGTGTGATTCCAGATTGTCAGGTCTCTGCATCCAACTGTTCTCTTCCTGTGGCAGCTCGTTTCCTATTAATGTTCTGTTAGGCTGAACCTAGAAGAAAGACAGCAGTTAAAAATCAAATTAACACGTTCAGAAACACTCTGTTGCCCTATACTAACAATGCACCATGAAATAAAGATGTCTTACATACTTGTTAGGAACTGAGGAAATCCAAAGTGATGCATCTAAGCAGCAATTATGAAATTAGGAGAATAATCTAGTCAAAAGCCCCACTAAACTGGTATCAAAACATTAAGTGTCATGCAAAAAGAAAGGCAGATGGTGTGTTCTATCCACATACAACTGACAACCATCCTGCAGAGTGTGTGGCAGATATTAAGCTCAGAGACAACAGAAATACTGGTCTCTAATGTTTCTCATCAACACAGACAGAAAAATATGAACAGTAGCTCTGAGATACACCAGGAACTTTCATTACTGTATTCCCCAAGGTAATGGAGTTTCACTAAATACACAAGAAACACTCCTGTGCAAATCTACCACAGAACAGAGCACAAGGAGCTCACATACAACCTGTCAGAAACTCGGCAGCATTTAAGGTGAGTTGAGTTCTCATCTTTACAGAAACTAGAGACCTAACATGACAGAGCCTGAAGTTCCAAAAGTGAAAGCTGACAGAGAAACTCATCTTATTTCACTACAACAACGTGTTGTTATAATAGCTACTCAGAGTCTTTTAGCACATCAGCAGATTCTTTTATGGGATGTTAGCCAGGACATATCCTCTCTGCAGTTATTTCTGCTGCCACCTCTCCCAGGATTAACACAGCTGCACACACCTGTGTTCAGATGCACATGAAAGGAAAAGAAACAGAAATAACATCAACATTAAGCAAAGCTGCCAAATACATTACCTGAAAAGGCTGGCTGATACCAACTATTGACTGCAGATTATTGCTGTAATAGCAAAGCAAGAATTCTCCTCCTGCATCTGGTATTTCTGCAGCACTCATGTAAACCTGGCAACAAGAGCAAGAACAGGCAATGGGCACCTTCCACAGAGAAAGAAGCTTACAAAAAAGCAGCCTCTGCCATTCAGGAAACCATGAAAGTCAGTATTCACTATTTATAAGCAGTGTAAAGCTAAATGTAAGCTAAAAAGGATGAAGACACAAGTAACTCATGAAGTGAATATCCCCCCATGTTGGTGAGCTGAGTGGGTTCAGCAAGAAACCCAGAGCTGTTGAAGGGGAAGGGGCAAGGCCACATGGGCAGCAAGCAGGGAGATGAGCTGCCTCCTGGTGGCAACGTGTTACATGGAGGAGTCGAACAAACCCACCACCTCGGGTTTGTACTGTCCCAAAGACTGCAGCCCACAGCATCCTGCTAAAACAGCATTCACAGTCCTTACGCTTCTGAACTTAGCGACAGGAAACCACGACATCAGAAACAGACCAAAACAGAAAATTACAGTGATTTTTAATACAATGAAAAGTCACTACAGCACCTAAATTGCTTCTTCATGAACTCCCTTAAGCAACATGATCCCACCTGAGAAGGTGTGCTGCACCACCTGGAAATGACTAAGAATTAGGAAGAGGGATTTTAAACCATAATATCACTTCCAATTTGACTGGAAAGAGGATACAGAACCTGCAAAAGAGGATATGGAACAAACAGACCTTAAATACTACTCTAAGGGAAACGACATTAGAAAGAAATACCACTGGCTTACTTGTTTACCACCTTTGTTAGAAGAAATTTCATCATCTTCTACCCAGGAATAAGTAACATAGTCATTCACATGCCTGAAAGTCACCTGCAAAGAAAGATGCAAACCATTGGCCTGCTGAAGGAAACAGAAGTCTGCTACCTGGAAAACTCAAAGTTGTGACAGAGATGTTTGCTACTTCACAGGAGTAATTTAAACACTCAGGGGCATGCACAAATCTTTTGTTTCTGAAGGGGTGCAAGTGCTCTGTTCTCTCTCCTTTCCATGGACTTCGTTGTTCTTTCTTGGCTGTATAAACCTTTTGAACTGCAGGCATGAGGGGAGGACAAGTCCTTTCCACAGCTTCAGTGCCATTTTACTTGAATAGATCACCACATTATCTTAGCAGATAACTGAAAGGGTGTGATAAAGCTTGCATGTAATGCAGCTAAACTGTCAGCATAAGAAACTAGCAGCAATAGAGGACACATGACTGTTACAGAGCTTTGCACTAACAAGAATCACAATGTCCTGTGACAGAAGAATATCAGCTACCTCATCCAGTCATATTCACGATGAGGTAACATTACCTTGAAGAGCCCAATCCAGTCCCAGGCACTGCTTGGGAATTCAGGCACTGCAGAATAGTTGATGAGAACATCATGTTCCGCACTCCACTCGCCCTCAGGATTCAGTGTGACCAAAGGTTCTGATACAAGAGGCTTCAACTAGACAAAAGAAGAGAGCTTCAAGTGAGTCATATTTGTCATCCTTTCCATTACCCTTTTCAAGTTATTCTCTGCCACAGCTGCTGTGGGACTTGGAACTGAATGGAAATAACCTGAAAACCATTTGCTGCCTTCGCTATAATCAGAATGAAACAGAGATTATGACTTAAAACCAGCTTCTGTAAGGCCACACTGAGTAAAGCGAACTTCTTAAGGATATAAGTGGGACAGCACCTCAAGCCCAAATGTTCCTGTCACAGGTTTGTGATCGCTGATGCCGTAGCTCATGTGACTGATATAGTTATTCAAAGTAACAGAAATTGTCTGCTGTTCCTCAGAGAATTCGCCTTCTTTTGGTGCATGCTGGCAGAGGTTCTTCACTCTCCAAAGGATTCTGTCTGTCCACGCTGGCTTTCTTTTCTTCTCACTGCAAAAGTGTAAGGTAAAAGTGAAATCAGAAGTGAAAAACAGCTGCCAAAAGCTAAAAATACTGAGAAAGATGTACTCAAAGTTGAAAGATTGTCAGATGTGTATTAATAGGAGAAGGCAATCACATCCAGGCTTCATTTTACAGCTCTGTTCAATGTTTTACAACCAAGGTTTCCTCAATTTGAACTCAACTCCGTTTACCACAGGTAAGTTGCACAGGTTTCTGAAAGAGGAGTAAAATGAAGGGGAGAAGGGAATTTCAGTGGGTTAGTTGGCTTCGTACAGGAAATGATACTTTCTCCTAAACCACTCCATAAAAACATGCAAGAATTAACTGTCCCAAGCTTCAAATGCACAGCTGTTCTGAGAAAAGGGGCACAAACTTACGGAGGATGGAGGAAGAGTCTGAATGATGTTTGAAATTACTCAAAACATTGGAGAACAGGTTTCTTTTAACAACAAAAACCAGGCAAACTCAGGTAGCTTGAACTAATCAATGCCATATTTCAAGTTCCTCTACATTGCATTAGCCTGCATTTCAAGTTTGCAAGCTATTGCTGTCTTGTAACAAAAGGCTTTAAGAATTCCATCATCAAGACATTGTGCCTGCAGCCTGCAAGTGTGCTACACATCAAACTGTAATTATAATTCAGAGTTTCCTTTTATACCATATCAATAACAACAGAAGACATGAGCCTTTCCTGGTTCTCTCTGTAGTGGGAGGAAGACTTAACAGCAACTCTCTGTATGGATGTATCACTTCAAATTGGGATGGAGAAAAGATCATACCCTATGGAAGAGGAATTAGAATGGACTGGATTGAATTATAGAAGTTAATCAGCAGTTAAACTGTCAGTTTAATAACTATCAGAATCATCATAAACTGGAAATGCCATTTAGTTCTTTTTGGTTTACCCCTTCCCATATCAAGTCTGACTCACCTTTAATAAGGTGGAAAGATTTTAAATGACTTAGGGGCCATATCCCAGTAATTCTATAAACGGACAGAAATCTCTATGAGCTGCCAGAGGTCTGCTCTGCTGTGCAAGAAAACACCAAACCAACAGCTGCAGTTAATACACTCACTAGTTTAGAGAAGAAAAGGCCTATTAGATGGGAAACAGACCCTCAAACTCCACACTGAAGATGTCTCAAAGATAACAAAATGCTGTGTGCTTCATATAACACACATTTTCAGTGATGTTAACCTTGAGGTCTACTCATCACTCCCATCCACCCAAAATCTCTTGCTAGCTTGGAGAGCAGCAGAATGCACACAGTATGCACAAGCATGGTTTTTGTTCTTTGACTGAGCCAATATAGACTATGATTCTATGAATCATTCTTACAGTGTTTAGGTTTGGATTATTATAAGCACTTTCTGTTAACTGGATTTACTGCTGCTCCCATTATATCTCTTCACACTCAATTAGGGTGTAAAATGTCTTTGGATCCAAATGAATAAGCTTCCAATGTTAAGTGCAACAGCAGAGGAGACAACGCTGCAGCTTTCAGACAGGTTCAGAGCATCCCTGAAGAAAATCAGCTGTCATCTGATTTTCAAATATTTCACAAAAATCAAATCAAAAGCTCAGGAAGGAGCATTGCTTTGATTTTGAAATATTTACAGAGCTAGGAAATCCAGAAAGTTCTCTTCTTACTTAAACCAAAAGAGGGACTTCTGCTCTCTGGAAGTAAATAAAAAAGATCAGTACAAAGCCCTTGTTCGGACAGGAATTTATCCTTCTGTTGAAACATAAGGCTAATACTTTACAACAAACTTTAGCGTCAGAGAAAAACTTTGGAAACATAAGATATGTCATTTTCAACTTAAAACACTTTATAAAGACACATTTACACTAATTTTCAAATACCAGTGGTATCAACTGAAATAATTAAATAGAGAAGAACAAAAATTGCAGCCACTTACTCTCTTCCCTTTGCTCATTTCTGACACCAGTGGGCACTTTTAGTATTAAAGAACATAAAGAAGTGGCTTAAATAAATGCTTGTTCATGGTGTTAATCCCAGTCTTTCCTAGAAGAAAGCTGGGTCGTTTCACCACTTCCCTCATGCAATCAGCAGACTTCTTCAGCCAGAAATATTGATTTCTTCTGATTTGACCACTGAATGAGCCTAACAGAATAGCTCCATAGCCCCAGTTAACCAGTACACTCATTACTAAAGTGATATTTAGCCAAGCACTACATTCACTCTAATATTCCATGTCTAAACTCATCCGATTATGCTTTTACCTTGTGTCATATACATCCGAATAAAGGTCAAACTTGTAGGTGGGTTTAAAGTGCAGAGGACCCTCTATGAACTCCTGAAGAAATGCTTCCTTCTTTTTTGCCATATTTAACTGCAGAAATAAAAAGTAACTTTTAGAGATGGTGTTGAAGAACCAGAGCTCAATGGGCAATTGGGAAAGGAGATGAGAAAGCATCTTCCAAGAATCCAACACCTCAGTCAATACAATGTATTTGGAAAGGTAAATTCAGAAGTGCCTCTTTGTTACAGCCGGAACTCCTGACACGACCTGTTGAAAAGTTCTACTCAAAAATCCCAGTAGAAGCTTCTCTTAAAAATAATTCTTAGGAGAAGAAATAAGGAGGAGACATTAAGGCGAGGAACAATTCACAGGTTCAAACAAAACTTCAAACACAACCATTGTAAATGTGTAGGAAACTAAAGAAAAGCAGAAATGGACTGCAATTGATTAGGGGGTATGACTGAGAAGGGAGAGAGCAACCAGCCAGATTTGCTCCACTCCATGTGCACTCTGAGCCTGTGTTCTTGAATAGAAATTAGAAACTCCAGAGGTAATGCTAACTACAGTATTTGTGTGCATTCAAACCAACCCAAACCAACCCCCCAAACACATTAAGACATCATACCTGGTCCTTTTCCCAGAGCAGGTTGTAACGCTTGTTGTTTATTGACTCCCGGACAAAGTGTATGCCGTAATCCGCGATCCGGAAGTTCAGATCTCCAAACCAGAAGAGAACACTTAAAAGAAAGGCAAAAACCCAAGGAAGGTTTATAGGAATCCATTAGCAGGAGGGAAGAAGTCAATGGAATACAAGTCATTACACTCATTAGGTGCTCTAATCACTTACACTACTTAATCTAAACAGCTTAAACAACACACATTAAGGAGCTATAGATAAATTTAGACAGGGATCACCTGCTGCTAAACAAAAACTTAAGGGAATTGAAACAGGAAATAGGCCCCTTGAATTCTTGCTGTTTGTTCATTACTGCCTGAGTAATAACTTCTCCTAATGACCTGCACCTCCACCAGAGACAGAGTTAGAATTAAACTTTAAGAGTAGGTAAAATCATTCACAAAACTCATGGCCTATGCAGCAGCTGGTTACGTTAATGCACTCACTCAGAGCTCTGGCTTAGTGCCTTGGGAAAGCGGGGACACATCTTGGGTGTTCTATAGTTGTTAGGAAAGAAAATGACTCTGAAGCACTGGAGTGTATTATCAGCAATGTTTTAAACAACAGGAAAGCTGGGTTTTGAAGTAAATTAACTTCTCTTTGAAAAATTCCTGGTTTCAATGTTTTGTTCAGGGGTGGACACTCCAAACTTGAACTTACAGAAACAAAACCTCTATTTTAATGCAATTTGTAATTTCTTAGAAGATGAAAGCGAGTGCTTTGGTAGATGCCCATGCATATCATCAAGAAAATGAAGCATATTAAATTGAAATATAAACCACTCACAGTGTCAATGTTTTAAAGGCTGAGATGCCCTCAGCAAGATAACAGATTTCAACAGAAACAGAATGGCCCAAAGCGTAATACAAATATCCTCAAAATTAGAGGAAGAAAAACATTTAATGGCAAGTTTTAGGATTTTTGGTATAAATGGGCTTTAGCTTCTAAAGATCTCCAGCACATGCACTAGGTACACTAACAAATTTAATGTCATTCAAGACTGAAGAGAAGAGTCTTGCAAAATAGACCTCCATCTTTCAGGTCACCTTTTCCACACAGGATTCAGGATCAAGGCTGAAAAGACATTCGAAATAAAAATGATGGATGAAAACTCTAAACCCCAAACTCTTCAGTGCATGAGCTTACCACAGAACAGATAAAACCAACACAGCCAGAAGAGGGTCTGAACAACTCACTCGTGTTCCAAGGCACTTGGAATATTCTCTCCTTCAAACTGCATTTCCAGAATTTTCTCAAAGTCATCCAGTCGCTGCTCTGTGTTCTCCATGTGAGCTGGCAAGTGGCAGTTCATGAAACAAACTGTGTGACCATAGAGGGACATGCGAATGGTGACTCCTCCTTTGTTGCCCTGGTGTGGAAGATGAACTATAGTCAACACCTGCAAACGTAGCTATTACCACCACCTACCCACCTTTAAATCTTGCTACTTAGATTTAAATGAATTGAGTTCCTTCCTACAGAAGTTGTACATCAGTTAATAATCTGGTGAAATTATGGTCTGTGCTGCGCACTTGCACACAAGGTTCAAACAAGCGAGTCTCACAGCTGGACAGTGTACTCATTTTTAAGGAACCCATCTATCCCCCTTCCCACCACAAAACCATTTATACCACCATAAGGAAGCAGGTAATCAAGTTTCAGATACTTCCTCACCCAGTACCCATAGAGGCCTGTGCGTGTGAACTGGGTATGAAGGTCCCGTATGAAAGGCAGGTGGACATGCTTCACAAAGATCAGGAGGAGCAATCCCTGCATGCGAACGGAGGAGAGCTGGAAGAGACACAAAAGAGGGACTGGTCATTTCCAGGGAGGTATTTGGAATTCCTTGGGTCTACTTCACAAGAGCTTTTAGGTGCAGAATGCCATAGCAGAAGTCATGCAATTCCTCACCAAGCCTGGCTTCAGCACTGTGCTGTAAAGAACACATCCTTATGGTACACTTGCTTATAAATAATCCTGATGAATGTCTCAACTAATCAGTTGGGAGAGTTATTAGTTACAAGATTATATTACAAATCTGAAGTAGACCCCAAAACGTGTATTTGCCCAAACATCTTTAAGGGCCTTTCTTCTGCCTCACCAACCTCTTGTTTCTATCTTTCTGTCTGTTCAGGAAGAACCAAATCCTTGATTTTTCACCTTTAATAAGTGAACACCTACAAGTCCTCCAACATGAGCAACTTCTTTGAACTGAAACATCCTTCAGCAGATAACTCATCATTCTAAATGCCATTAAAATGCCTAAAAAGCACAGTGGTTAATTCTGGGCATTGGCAAAACCCAGCTACTGCAAATAGCAGTAACTCTTACCTGCAATGCCTCTAAAAACTGATTTACCAAACAGTTCCAAAGATATTTAAGCTTTAAGATACTGTTTGGGTTTTTTGTGGTTTGGGGTGTTTTTCTAGTGTGTGTGGAAATATTCTAAACAAAGAGGTTCTTCATTAAAAATGTATGAACTTTACATTGGTCCTGGCATGAAAGACAAAATTCATTTTAAGAGTTTGTTTTAATGATAATGATTCAATTTCAAATACAGACATTGAAATAGATGAATTGTAGTTCAATTTTATGCTGGATGAACTCAGAGAAAGACTACATTAGGATAAAAACTGATAATAAGAATAAGTGACAATGCAACTGCTGGAGTACACAGACTCAGCCCCAATTTAAAGCAAAATTCCTCCTTTCTTTGCCTCCACATCTATACAATTAAATGATTTCAGAATCTATGTGAATGTTTTCACTGTCCTTGAACCCAACAAAATGCTAAGCAGTACATTGAAATGATGGATCACAGTTAGTAGGTAATGCATAAATATTTGTGTCTGATCAGACATTTGGAGTAACCAGTATTCTCCTTTCCACAATTACGCTCAGGAGATACCAAGATCTTTCAGTCTCTTTATTTGCTGCCATTCTGCTGCAGGCCAGCCCTCAGATATTTCTCAAAATCATACAAAACCTCTTCTCCCTGTAGGACTTGAACATCCAAACACAGTGAGTCCCTCCTCTGCTGGAACTAGCGCTGGTTCCACCAATACTTAGCGCCAAATTAAGCAAAGAACTTCCATTGAGGGGACATGATTCTATTAATGAGGAAAGAATTGAGTGACTCCAGCCAACACAGCACTCTGAAAATAGACCCTGTTATTGAAGGGGCACAATGTCCCAAGGATGACAACTACCCTTCCCTCCACACCCAACCTTGTCACAGGTCAGCAAAGCACGGGTAACTGCTCCTCTCCTTCTCTGCCAGCTTCCCAGACAAGTCCTAGGAGAAGCTCTTCTCACTGCCTGTGTTGATTCTAACCTGGCCTGACAGTTGCCTTATTGT